TCATTCGATTATGGTTCGACGTGAAAGGTATTCATCACTGGGTTTGGTTTTGGGGAGACACAAATGGGTGTCTATAGGTAGGTGGTGAGATCAGAACATTCAAAAGGTGGTGGTATGAATTTAGATTTAAGAGCATGTGGGTTTTTAAAATAAATAAATAAATTATAATAATGTGAAGATAATAAAACAAATAATATGTAGAAAAATGGCTCAATTTACCAGATTACCTGGTTAACAAAAGTTTGAAACTAATTTGAGAAGGGACTCTTATAGTTGGGATTATTCTAATTTAAATAGTGATTGAGATTAAAATGAGAAGGGAGTCAATATAGTTTGGATTATTTTTGTTAATTTTTCCTTTAAAAAATATTTTTTTCCTCGTGATTTTGAGGAAAGAGAAAGAATTTTGAGATAAAATTTGGGAATAGTAAGAGGGAGAATGTGAAAACGTGGGGGAAAAAAATGAACGAAAGGCCCTACTATTAAAAACATCACATGCCACGTGCGTGATGGTCAGCGCCGGAAAAGTAAAGTCATTGACCATATTCCGACGTCAAGGTCCCTCCTCATAACAAATATGATTTATAGGGATCTTTTTCACCAATTTGAACATATAAGGTATTTCTTCGTAAAAATGTGAGCATATGAGTACATTTCTAACAAATTTTCCTTTAACAAACTATGATTAAAAATTTAATTAATTTCCCTATTCCTACTGTAAAATAGATACTATCACCAATTAAATTGGTTTATCAAGGAAATATTACAAAAAGAATATATTAGACTACTAGTATACAAACTTCTATATTTATTCATGAAAATGATACTCAGATTAAGCTTCATACACTTCAAGAGAAATTATCAGTATAATGAAGTAAAATTAGACCATTAGAGGTGTATTATACATTTATACCTGAAGTGATTTTTGAGATATACTCTTTGATCTGACATTATACTAGCTTATAATCTTTATTTTAAAAAATAATAATAATAATAAATTAAAATCAATAAAATAAAGCAAATTTTAGGTGAGGCAACTTATCAAACACTTTGTGGGCATAATAAAAACATGTAAAATATAGGAATGAAAATAAAACTTGCAGCAAGTAGAATGCATCAAATAACAGATTCCCAAATTATAAGCATCTATAGAAAATTTAATCACATCGGAAAAGTAATTTCGAATTGAATTAACAAAATTTACTCAAAAAAAACCCTAAAATAATTTAAAATATGTACAAAAAATATCCTAAAATAATATAATTTTAAATCAAATTAAACCCTAGATTAAAAATCAAGTCAAGAAGAGAAAAAGTCATTCTCAATTTGCAGCAAGATTCGAGTGAGGAAGATTCCGGAGTTTGCAGCTTTGGAGGGGAAGGATGGAAGGGAGTGGAAACACAGCTTCCCTTCTAATTTGGGGAAAAACGTTTTCTTGTATAAAGAACAATAGCATTTCAACCCAAATTTTCTTTCTCGTATCCGGCCCAAACCAAACAATGTAAATAAGGAAAGGCTCAGTAGCAATCGATCGATGTGTGTGGGGTTAGTGTGTGAAAGATTATAAATATTCATGTGATTTTGACCTATGACTTTAGAAATTAAAGTATCTATTAATTGTGAAATAAATCGATTTGCGTCAATTTTTCAGTTTTCAAAAAGCAAGTTCTTAATGGTTTGGTTCCTTTCTATTAGTTCATTTTTTGGAACGAAAATGTTCATAGGTCGGGTTACAAATTACAACTCTAGTTGATCACTGAAATTTTTTTCCATGGAGGCGGATGCACGATGTTTCGTGCATCCCGTTTTTTCTTTTTTTAAATAAGGCAGAATGAACATATAGTTGTTCAATAAAGAACATATAGTTGTTTTGTAAAAAAACATATAGTTGTTTTGTAAAGAACATATAGATATTTTATAAAGAACATCACATATAGTTGTTTTATAAAGAACGTATAGCTATTTTGTAAAAAAAATCTAGCTTTATGTTCTTTATATATATCTAATGAGCATTCGTAATATTAATAAAAAACATGATAATATAATGTAATAAACATTATTTTTATTCAACCACCATAATCTAAAGACAAAATTCAAATAAAATTTCAAAATAAACAATTAACATTATGTCACAAACAAAAGTACATTATACTGATAATCAAAGCACATGGATATAAAAAATATTATTTAACATCATGTTATGTTAAATTATTCACAATTCTATAGCATGTTCTTTTTACTTTAATTAAATGTTCTTTACATTTCTATACAATGTTCTTTCCATTTTTTTTTTGGAAGGGATGCACCATGAGGATCATGCATCACCACGCGTTGGTTGATCACAAAGTTGTCACTTAGAAATGAGTGTTATACAACATCATATAACACATCTAACATTAAATAATCAAGATCAATAATTTGATTTATTTTATTTCATTTATAATACATTTTTGCTTAAATAATTGTTAAATAAATAAATGAATCGTAATAACTAGTTATAATTTTAGTAAGTGCAACTGTGCAAGGACCAAAGCTAAATATATAATTCAAAAAACACAGAAACATTACCCTTCAAGTCTTCAATAGCGCAGTGAATTAACAATGTTCTAAATGAACGGTGTGTTTGGATAGAGGAATGGGAATGAAAGAAAAGAAGGTGAGGTAGGGAGGGGAAGAGGAAGGGGAAGGAATTAATGATAAATTCTCTATTTCTCTTCCCTCCTCATTTGTTTTGCAAATAAAAGTAATTCATCTCTCCATTTTTCTTCCCTTCCTTTTCCTCCATTTCACTCCATCCAAAACAAAATAGTGTAAGTTATTTTTTTCACATTGGTAAATAACTATATATATTGCTTAAATTATTAATCAATCTTAACTGATACTCTTGTTTTCATGAACTTCACAAAACAACACTGCCATCAAGCCATCAAATAAGCTCCTATTGTTAAATCACTACAAGAAAATAACCTTTTCGTAGCGATTATTTTAACCTTTAGTATCGATTGTAATTGCAACAAAAAGCTTTCCCAACGAATGGTCATTCGATATACAATATCCCCGTTGCCTTAGCCTTTAGTAGTAGTTTTCAATATTGCTGGGGTTGGCCTCAATAATCGATACGAAAAACTATCTCCAATCGTGGTGATTATTGTAGCGATTACAATCGCTATAAATGTTTAACTTATTTTCTTCAAAAAAAAAAAAACATGCGTATGATCTTTACAAGATTCAAACATGCAACCTCAAACTCTTATATTAAATGTTTCACCAATAAGCTATGACATATTTTATGTATTCTTTGTCAAACAATATTTATATATCTAGTATTGAAAAGGTTTTTCGTATCGATTTTTAGGATTTAGTGGCCATTGTAAATGATACAATTTCTCAAAATTATATAAATGTGTAAAAATAGTGTGGATATGTATTATTATGTTTTTCCGTATCGATTTTATATGGGAAAACCATGGCGATTGTAAAAATGATACGACATCCTTAATTAGTTCACAAACATACTTGCATATTGTAGCGAATGTACAATCGCTACGAAATAATTGCTACGAAAAGAGATTTTTCTTATAGTGAATTTTACACATGAATATATTTTATTATACCAATAATATACGTATGTTAATTAGCAAATACATTATCACAAAATTAAATAAGGCTTTTTATGAAGAGCTACCTTATACAAGTCAATTTTTGTGAAAAAACTACCTTATATATTATAATAGCATCTCCAATAGCAAGCTACAATGCTTTGTAGATCGCTTTTCTACATCAATTTTAAAGCTACAAAACTTTTTAGCAACAAATTTTTCTAGTGGTAAACTACAACATCTTTTAGTTCGCAAAAAATAAAATTAAAAAGAAAATAATTATAGACATGTTACAATATGAGTGGAGTTTCTTTTTTTTTTTTTTTTTTTTTTTTTTCAATCAAGCATGTAGCTTGTTTGGGCTACAATAACTTACATGTTGCTCAATTTTTTGTTTGTTCTCCAATGGTAAGCATGTATCTAAGAACTTTATTTATATTGCAAGCAAGTTCTTACAATTAAACCATTGGAGATGCTCTTAAGAAACTGCCTTTTAAACAATAAATGTTGTAGAAAACTACCTTATAAAATAATTAATGTTGTAAAAAACTACCTTTTGCCGAATTACTGCATTGAATAAGAGATGTTTAATGACCCATGTCAATCATTTTTTTCTCCTTTTTCCACCCAATTTCCCCATAGCCCCCCTTATAACCCCTAAGAGCATCTCCAATGGTTCAATTATAAGGACTTGTTTGCAATTTAAATAAACTTTCTAGCTACGTGCTTAGCAGTAGAGAACAAAAAATTGAGCAACATGCAAGCAACTGAAGACCAAACAAACTACATGTTTGATTGAAAAAGAGACTAATAAGCTCCACTCATATTGTAACATGTGTATAATTAATTATTTATTTTTTAAAATTTTATTTTTTGCTAACAATAATATGTTGTGGCTTACCATTGGAATAGTTTGTTGCTTAAAAGTGTTGTAGCTTTGAAATTGATGTGGAAAAGCAAGCTACAAAGCATTGTAGCTTGCCATTGGAGATGCTCTAATACCTCTTCTCTTTCATTGTTAAATTAAGCACATACATAGTAGCAAATAACAACATTTAATTTTGTAAGGTAGTTTCTTACAACAATTTTTTTATAAGGTAGTTTTTCACAAAATTTGATGTATATAAGGTAGTTTTTCACAAAAAAAGTCCAATTAAATACTAGCATTTTTCAAAATAATACCCGTATATAATAATTAGAAGCACACATATATTACTTGAAACACTAAAGTTACATTATTATCTTCATGTGTAAATCACTTATTTCTCAAGTTCGACACGTAATTGTTTACAACACCTTAATACATAAACAATAGTATTGAGAGTGCTACGTATATATCATTTCTCTCCCAATCATAGGGTAGAAACCATGCATGCATACAATTAGGGTTTATAAATTTTTTTAGCAAGAAACGTTAGGACCAGGAGTAATTTTGAACTTCTTGCAATAGCTCTTATAGTACTTAACACGGTTTTTGACCGCGGCAGGGCTTCCACCATTGCATTCGCCTCCGTTTATAGCACGGATAGTAGCTCCAAATCCTTTGCTCACTTTAGAATGAACCCTAGTGTTCCAGTACCAAAGTGCTGTCTTGAAGGACACACCAGGGCTTGTCGATGCGAGTTCGGGATGCTTCAACAAGTCAAGGCCAAGGTATTTCCCAGCAGCTCCGTAGTTGCAGTTCCATGTCAATTGAATCGGCCCTCTTCCGTGGTAGCTTTTTGCTTTGCAAGGATACTTTGTACAAGAGTGGTCACAATATGGTTTAGATGATGCACCAATCTCATCTATGTAGCAAAAATCTACAATGCAAAGAAGAAAACATTTTTGTAAACTTATACACTTTTATTTTAAATGGTAAGGAGGACCCTTACCTGAGTTTAACCCTCATGGTTTTGTTTGGTCTAGTATTAACGGGTCAGACATTTGAGAGTAGAGGCCAAGGGACCCGGTGTCGGAAAATCATGAGATTTATAAGGATGCATCCTAGGGTCATATTATATTTTTTAGAACAATATTTGATCAATATTCTATCACTTGAAGTCCCTTTTTTGGCATTCGGATGAATAGTGAGGTGTTTGCCGTAAACGACTAAATTAGCTAAAAAAGACAAATATGACAGTTCCAACCACTCAAATTAACACCTATGGTGTTATGGAGTGTATGAGAGCAACCCCGACATATTTTCTCTCCAGTTCCGTAATAGTCTAAATTTGACTAAAAATAAAGACTATAATCCACGCTTTTTGACCAATTTTTGAAGCGGAGGGACTCGGTTTTGAAAAATCTCGAGATTTTTGAGGATGCATCCTAGGGTCATATTATGTTGTTTGGAATCATATCTGATCAATATTATATCTCTTAAAATCCATTTTTTTGCATTGGGATGAATACTGAAGTCTATGCCGCAAACGACTAAATTAGCTATAAAAAAAAGACAAATAAGGCAGTTCTAACCATTCAAATGAACTCCTATGTTGTTGTGGATTGTATGGGAGCAACCCCGTCATATTTATTCTCTAGGTCCGTAATAGTATAAATTTAACCAAAACTGAATTCTATAATCCACGCTTTTTGGACAATTTTTGAGGGAAAAGCACCCGGCATCTTATAATCTATTCTATAATGAACAAAAAGTAAAGAAGCTCCCCTCGCGATTTCATGAAATCTTATAATCTATTCTATAATAAGCGCTTAGAAAAAAATAGGGAGTAAGAAAAAAAAAGAGTAAATAAGTATAGTGTCTTACTCTTATCTACTCACTCCTGCCTTCAAAAAAAAAAAAAAAAAAAAAAAAAAATCTACTCACTCTTCAGTCCTCACCCCATCTTCCTCACTCACTCCATCTCGCAACTATGGTTTATGCTAAAAGCCTAAAATCTTACATATTTGCAAATTGCAAGAAATTTCTTACAAAAGAAAATCCATCCTCGTCCTATACCCAGCTTTTCCATTGTCAATGGGATTATTTGCGGAACTTGTTAGAGGATGCCCCAAGCTAGAGGTCCCATTATTTCTAATTTCATTCAGCCATTGAGCCATTCCTTCCTACTGCACCGCCTTAAACAAGTTTCTAGAAGGTATGTAGAAATTCTGTGGCGGGAAACTTTTTTATACCCATTTTTTCCCTTCAATTTCAACACTCTCAATATATATATACACAAACCCACTCAATCATTTTTTCTCTCTCCAATTTTTCTTTTCAAATCGCACAAATTTGATCACATAAACGCTTCCTCTTCTTCTTCTTCTTCTTATTTTCGTCAATTGCTCTTTGATTTTCTTCTTCTTTTAATCAGTTCAATGGAGTCTTCAATTCAGGTATAAATCTAAATGATCTTATTCTAGCTAATTATCGCATGATTTTTTTCTGTTTCTGCTAATTTTTCTATTTCTCAGATTCTGCTAATTTTTCTATTAGAACTCATTAAATTCTTAGATTCTGCTATGCATGAAATTTCTTTTTGAGCTCATTAATTTTTCGCTTGATTTGCTTGTTTATTGCTAGTTATCTACTAATTACAGCATTAAATTCTTTGTTACTGCTACTTATTGCGTTGAATTCTTTGTTTATTGCTACCTATGGCATGAAATGCTTGATTTCAGCTAATTTTCGCTTTGAATTCTTTTTTTCTGCTAGTGATCGCATGTATTAAATGCATTATGCGTTTATTTTATTTTATTTTTTTTTAGTTTTTTTACTGCCTATTATCTTCATTGCGATGAAAAGCGTTTTCGCTACTAATTAATGTCGCATTAAGTTATATTTGTGAATCATCTGAGCATTTAATTTAAGTTATAATTGTTGTTTGTTAATAATTATTATGATAATTCAAGTTGTCAGAAAATTTCTATTTACTGAAGTTTGAATATACTGTACAAAATAGTTTCCGATCAAAATAAAATAATAATCTAAGTATGAATAATGCATCTACATTTGAACTGACTGTGATGAAGAAACTAAGTCGATATTGTCGAATGTTTGTTCATCGTGACCTAGTTAGAATTTCTTACAATTTATATGCCATTTCACATAGCGATGTAACTCGTTGCTGTTGTGGATGTAACAGTACTATGATAATAGGTGCAAATTTGTTGCTAAGCAGAAGGATTCCGGAACTGATCCTTATCCTAAATTCTCTGTCACAAAGAATATTGCTGAGTTTGTAGAGAGTTATAAGTCGGCAAAGGAAGACCTAAAACATGTGGTTGAAGCTATAGCTGGTATTAAAGATAGTTTTTTTTTTTTTTTTTTTTTTTTTTTTTTTTTTTTTTTTTTTTTCTTGTCTAAAGACTAGCAGTTTCAGTTTTGATACATTGTGCATTTGGTTGTATTAGGGAGGATCATGAACAAGCGAGGCAAATCGAAGTCGAAGCTCATATTCTACGATTTGTGTAGTGATGGTCACAAAATCCAATTGATGGTCTTTGCTGAGTAATTATATAACATTGCCAAGTTCAGTATATTCTATTTGAGCACTGTTTCTTGCTGTCCTCCCATTCTCTTTTGACCTATGTGCCATTAAAACCTTTCGTTTTAATTTCAATTTCCTTCAACTCTGTCAGTAATTTTGAGCTGGATGAAACGGAATTCTCCAACCTACATGATTCTGTGAAACGTGGGGACATTGTCGGTGTGAGCGGATATCCAGGTATGCGAATCGTAGTATGTGATGTATAAATGTATAATTGTTCTTGTTAGGTTCAGTTGACAAGAATCGTTAGATCTTTATTTAGATGGAGGCATTTTGAGGGTAGATAGGGTGTTTGAATATCATGGAAAATGACATGTGTTATTCTATCTGCTGTCTTTGTAGGTTTCAATAAGAAAGGAGAACTTTTATTTTGTCCCAAGACTTTCAAGGTACTGTCTCCTTGTCTCCACATGCTGCCTGATGTTCGTAAAGCTAATGCTAATGTCGAGGTAATTGAATTTTTGCTTCCATTAGTTGGTAATTTTTTTCCCTAGGTTTTTAGGGTTATTTCAGGCTTGTTCTCTTCATTCGAATATTTTGGTAATTATGTTTAGTTCGTGCATATGCTATAGCTATTAACAACTAAATGCTTCTAGGCCAAGGTATTTCTAAGTTGATATCTGCCTAGTAATAAAGATCTTATCTGATAAATTCACAATTTGATACAATTTAAGATCTCCTCATTTTTCATTTTCATTTTCATTTTTTTTTTAATGTATAAAATTTTTGCACTATTTACAAGCTTCATTATTTATTTTTTTCGGTTGCAGAAATGGGTACCTGGATGTTCAAGGCAACCTGAATCATATTCGCTGAAGGATCAGGTATTTTTATTTTATTTTATTTTGGATAACTTGTCTGCTCTTAGCCTGTTTTTGGGACATTAGGTATGGCAGAATCTGTTTTAGTTTCTGGCAGATCAGTTTTGTAATGGTTTTGTAAATAACATTGCAACATGCTATAGGTTTTGTAATATCCTGCTTGACTGTTCTATCCCCTATAATTGTACCTAGTAGTAGCTGATAGAACTGAATAAAAGCTTTGGAAACCCCATCAGAAACCTCACACCATGTACCCTCCATGTCCTGTACCTTAATAATGTTTTCTCTGTGATTCTGGAATCTCAAACTTTTGTAGAAATAGGCTGTGTTTTCATTCCACCTGGAGCCATTTAATTTTTGCTTTTTGTTGGAGGAAGGAGTAGTAGCCTGCGCTGTTGTTTGAGTTCTTGAAGTAATTCAAATTCCTGATGTTGCAGATCTTTATCATCTAGGTCCTGCTGAATTCTCTCCTGAATACCTTGTAATTTGTAAATCATGCTCCAACTTGTAAAATTTCAGTTCAATATGAAATGTCCGAGCTCTCTTGTCAATAGTTTGAGTATTTTTAACCACACAGAACATCTTTGTGTACTTGCATCCCTCATTTTTGAGGTCCTATAAAGCACTATACTCATACTCCCTAAAATCTTCTACTTCATGGTGGGAAACAGGTCTTCCTATTCTGTTCTTGAAATGAAGAGGACTGTTAAAGTACCCATAACTATCCGAGGGTCTCGGATTTGTTCACTCATCCCCTTTATATCCTTCCATAACCCCTCTCTTTCATGGTGGTCAATGAAACCATATACAAAAATACACTGAAACTGAAAGTTTATAGCTATTTTCTTGATCTGAATATGAATATATCGAGACCCTCCACCAATCTGTTTACATATTTCCTTAGACATCTCCAAATTTCTCATCCTTAACTTTTGTTTCTAAGAGACAACACAAACTTGCTTTTTGCTCATAGATAAACTTTTTAAAGGTCCTTTTGCTTATTAGGGTGGTCCAACCCCATTATGGTCTAGCAAAGTATTTTATCCATTAGTATCTACTCCTTTTCCCCTTTTTGGGGATATTACTTTTTCTAAGTGTCCAAACTGGATTTTACCTACCATCTGCAAGCCAGCAATACAGTTTCTCAAGCTTACCAGGTTACCTACTTTTTGACATATTCTAGTCTGTAGGTCAGCAGTATTCTGAGTACTTTCTTTTTGACTCACTGCATTTTCCTCTTTGTTTTAACATGATCATTTTCTGCTACAATTTGTCTCTCATCATCGAAGGTCTTATTCAGTTCCCACTATTTGTGATCTAAATATGATTCAATTCTTTATTGCGATCCCAGATTAGGTACTTAGGTATCTGAAATATTCAAATGATTTTTATGTTTTAATTATTTTACTGATGTGAAGCTTTATCTTACTTTCTTTCTTTGTTTTTGGTTTTTGTTTTAGGAAATTCGTTATGCTAAATGATATCTTGATCTCATTGTAAATGATGAGGTTTTAGAGGTTTTCAAAACCCGGTCAAAAGTGATTGCCTATATGAGATCATTCTTGGATGAAAAAGGCTTTATAGAGGTATAACTTCATATATAATTTGTATTAAAGTAACCTGCAAGACTGTTATATCTAATAGTCCAACGTTTCATGTAATAAACCGTGGTTTATTCAATACTGATTATTTTGTTTGATGTTAGGTTGAAACACCTATTATGAATGCTTGTCCTAGCATTGGCGCTGCGCGTCACTTCACTGCATCAAGTGATGAATTAAAAGTGAAGTTTTTCATGCGCATTGCACCTGAATTAATGTTAAAGCAGTTGGTGGTTGGAGGTCTAGAGCGCGTGTATGAAATCGGAAAGCAGTTCAGATCTGAGAATGTTGATTTGACACATCACCCGGAGTTTACTAGCTGTGAATTCTATATGGCTTATGCAGACTACAATGATCTGATAGTCCTAACAGAAACATTGCTAAGTGGTAAGGATTGATAGGCTACATTTAGGAAATGATAGACCTAACACATCACCTGGAGTTTACTTAGTAAGGTGTTTTTGAACAGGAATGATGCAGAGATTGACTGGAAGTACAAAAATAAAATGTCATTGTGCTGGACAAAAAAAGAATGAGAACGAAACTATTGAGATAGACTTCACTCCACCCTTCAGGTAGTTTATATCTGGTGGATGTCTTTCTTATATACATTCCATATCACAATTACGGCGTACATACACTCATCCCTTAATTGCTAAATACTAAACTGTAGGAGAATAGACTTCATAAAAGAATTGGAGAAACAGGCAGGTATCATCATTCCAAAGGATTTGTATAGTGATGAAGCGCACAAGTGTTTGCTTGAAGCATGTCAAAAAGCAGGTGTGACGTGTGAGCCTTCACTGAGAACAGCTCGCTTGTTAGATAAAGTAAGTATATGTGTGTGGTGATCGTATGTGTATTTTATGTGTTTGTGCACTACCTTTCACTTAATGTGTAACTCAATTAGCAACTCAGTTTCAAAAAGCGCGTTTGAGGTGTGGCTAAGCACAAGCTGACCCCCTAGTCATCTTTTCAATAAGCTGGTTGCATACTGCAGCATTAGATGTTATGTACCACCTTTTTTTCCCTTCCCCCCTTTTATCTGCATAAACTTATTTTGCCCTTGTATTTGCAGCTTGCAGATCATTATCTTGTTAAAAATTGTGTCAATCCAACATTTATAATGAACTACCCCATATTAATGAGTCCGTTAGCTAAGCATGACAAGTCAATGGATGGAATGACTGAGAGATTTGAGCTATTTGTGAACAAGCGTGAGGTATATACTCATAATTTCATTTATTTGTTTTTATTATTGTTGACTTGCTAGCCTGGTTTAAGATCTGCTTCCCATAAGCAGCCAATAGAAGATTCTGTGTTTAGGCACTAAGAACCTATTCCGGATCACCTTATCCCAGTACACATGGTGATCAATAACAGTCATAGCCTTAGAAATTTTAGCTATGCTGAACTTGCCTTGAGTTAGTGTATCAATTAAGCTAAACAGCTCATCTTTAATTCTGCACAGACTCTTCCAAAGCCATCTTGCAGTAGTCTTAGGCTGATAATGTCTCGTAGAACAATCCTTAATGCAGACACTGTGGACCCATTTAACCCTCAAGTTACCTTCCTTTTGCTCAATAGCCCATATGTGCTTTGCAACAGCTGCTTTGTTCCTAGCAATCAAGTTTCTGATCCTCAGACCACCAATGCTTTTTTAGGAACAAACTGAATCCCAATTGACTAAACCAGGCTGGCTAGACATATAGTTCCCATGCCAGAGGAATTGTCTGCAGACGTTATTGATCTTATGCAAGATAGAAGGCAAAATGAAGATTTGACACCAATATGAGCAAATAGATATTAAAACAGAGTAAATGAGCTAAATTCTGCCACTGCTTCAAGTCTTACATTTTGTTCACTAGAAGATCATACTCGTGTGCTTTAAGCTTAAGATGACTCATAGGCACTCCCAGCTACTGAAAAGGCAGATGGCCTGTTCTTAACTGAGAAGAAGCCTGAATTCTATCAATCTCCTGCTGCTTCATACCAACATAGTAAACTTCAGATTTCCCAGCATTAATGCATAAGCCAGTAGTGTCAGCGAACACTTTAAACCCACTGAGTAGCATACTAGCAGAGTCAAATTCTCTTTTACCAGAAAATCAAAATATCATCAGCAAAAGCTGTTATTTCGAGTCTAACAATTCTGGATAATTTTTTATGACAGCTCATAAATGCATACACGGAGATGAATGATCCTCTACTACAACGAAAACAATTTGAGGAGCTATTGAAGGTATAATTGTCCTGCTTCTGTTTGTGTAAACCTTCTAATGACTTGAATTTCATAAGTTTGAATTTTTTGCTTCTTTTTTCGGTAAGTAAAACTATGTTGCCAAACGTACAATGTGTACCTATGAGACCTTTTGTGCTTTTGATTTCCAGGATCTTCAGCATGGTAATGAAGATATGAAGGATGATCCTTTTTGTGTTTCTTTGGATTATGCACTGCCTCCGACAGCAGGTTGGGGGATAGGGATTGACCGGTTGGTCATGCTAGTTACCGATTCTCAGACAATTAAGGTATTCTATTATGTTTGTTGTTTATATGTAATGTAACTGAGGATGTTGTTGTATGTAATGTAACTGAGTATGTGTATCCAAATCTTATTGCAGGAAGTTTTGCTGTTCCCAAAATCCATCAAAAAGCCGAGGAGCGATGGCCAGCACGTTTAATTCTAATCAAATCTTTGCATGCCATCTGCTATTATTTCTTCAGCACAGATTGAGTATAGATAAAACTTAGAGTCGAGGCATCAATAGTACATATATTCTCCAAATTGTATGTAAAAGTACCAGCCACCAAAAGTTTAGAGTTAATATTGCCTTCTGACGCTGCTAACTGCTATAATGTCTAGATGGTTAAGACATACGAATTTAAGAACATGTTTGAAACCCCTGGTAAAGATGATCCTAATGGCAGAGATATTTCATGTCATGATCTAATGGTATCGTTTATTGCATTATCTCATTGTGTTTATTAAACTATCTGATGGTTTCATTTAAAGATGAAACAATTAATTGCATTATCTGATGGTGTTCATAAATTTCTTTGTCGTACTAAAACTGTTATAGAGATATGGGAAGCAGTCGAGTTTATATGTCACCAAAATTAGTTTAATATGTTATTGACTTGACATTAATTTGTTGGATGTCATGTTCATTTATATTATTAGGAAATTTTGTGAATCACCCCCAAAACTTTCCAAAGTTTTTTCTGTTTTGATTTTGGGTTGAGTTTATGTTATGGCTGAAGGTTATTAAGAAAACTGATTCCATTTGTGCTGATGTTTGTGGTCAGGTAATTGAATTGAATTCTTGTTATCCCCCCTCCCCTCCCCTCGTAAATTTTGATGTAAATTTGTTTGCCATTATTGGTTTGTCGTTGTATAATTGTTGCTTCCATTGATATTTGTTTTTAGCTGATGATTTGTGAAGTTTAAGCGCTTGTTTCTCTTGTGTTAAGAAAAGTATTTTAAAAAAAAAGAAAAAAAAAATGTAAGTGGGTCCTAATTTCAAGTGTTAAGTTGAGTCTTGAAATTTCAAGACTCAAGTTGAGACTTGGTTGAGATTGTTTAAGAAAAATGGGGGAAGTATTAAGCCAAAGTCTTAAGACTCAATTTGACGATGTCATCTCGAGTCTTAAGACTTTGGGCTAAACATGCTCTAAAAGGCAAGACACATGTCGCTTTAAGATTAAACACTTTAGAAAAATTACTTGTTGAGGAGATGACACATGTCATTTTATACTCCTTTTTATATACTAGTAACTAGTAATAAAATTTTTAGAAAAATATTCAGATCAAACTACCGATCCTACGTGACGGTAGTTTGGTAAATTCTTTCAAAACCAAAGCAAATACGTAATTTTTGATCTAAAAAGCATTATTCAACAAAAAAAATTCTATATATGAAGTATATCTATATGTTGTCATAAAAAGATTTGATACTAAAAATAAGGATATATCGTTAAAAAAAAAGGCTACAAATATCTTTGTTTTTAGGGGATCTTTGTTGTTTTATGGGAGGAAGTCACGGTACAAAACTGGGGTATTGCTGACATTGTCAAATTAATCACAAGGTCTCAATCCCTTTCATTTAACATCAAAGTGTATTTATACAAAGTATTTTACCTTGGGAATAATCTACCTAAAAGATAGAATCACAATAGGATTATAATTAGGAAACAAAAGATATATTTTCTAGGAAAAATTGCCCGCAATAATCCGACCTTTTGGCCGTCCGCTGAAAACAATCCCACCTATGAATTATTTTAAAATAATCCCACCTTTATACCCACTCCGCTATAAATGGTCCCAACCGGTCATGTAACCTGTTATATCAAGTTACTTGACACGTGGTGGCCTGTGATTGGTCTAAAAAATAAAAATAAAATAAAATAAAATAAATTTATAACAAAAAATTAATATTTTTTATAGAAAAAATTCAAAAACAAAAAAAAAAAAACCCCACCCCAGCACCGCCTGAGTCCCCACCTCCGCGGCTCCGGTCACCAGAACCCACCCCAGCGCCGGCATCGGGGTCCAACCCCAACCCACTCCAGCGCGACTCCAACCCCCGACTCCAGCCCCAACCCAAACCCAACCCCAGCACGACTCCAATCCCACCGCAGCGCCGACGACCTCCTTCCCCCTCCCCCGAACCACCAACCCACTCCAGCGCGACTCCAACCCCAGCACCGACTCTGAACCCAACACCTTGCAAACTCTCTAAAACCCTCGATCTCAGCCCCTTTGCCCTTTTCCGTCCCTTTTCCGGCTACCTCCCTTCCCCACGCCCCAATTTCGACCCTCGATTTACGGTTGTGGTGGATTAGTGGCGATGGAAAGGGGTAGGGAGGGTCGGAGAACGGCGCGCGGGGGTCTTTGGTGTGACACGTGTAAATAAAACTTAAAAAAAAAATACTTCCTCAACCGGTTACAGGTCACTTGGGACCATTGAGAGCGGATTAGCTATAAAGGTTGGATTATTTAAAAATAATCCAAATGTGGGATTATTTTGGGCGGACAGCCCAAAGGTGGGATTATTCCGGGTAATTTTTCCTATTTCCTAATATTTCCTAAACTATATCTCATACAATAAGATTATAATTAGGAAACAAAAGATATATTTCCTAATATTTCCTAAACTATATCTCATACAATATTTCCTAATCTTAACAGACATTTATACTAAAAGAAAAAGAAATCCAGGAGCTTATAAAAGCGTTTTAATCGTTTCATGCAATAGAATTATTGCTTGCGCTGCTGCTGCTGTTGCGTTCGGTTGTTGTTGTCGTTGCTGCCACTGTTAGAGTTTCGGTTGTTGTTGTTGCCACTGTTAGAGTTTCGGTTTTATAAGGTATTCTTCTTCTTCTTCTCTCTCCCTCACACGAATTTTCTGTAGAATTGTTTGTGTATTTATAATTTTGTTCAAATATTGATAGAGTTTTGTTTGAATTATTATTTTTCGTAATTTTGATTGAATTTTGTTGGAATTAATGAGTTTTGTTTCAAATTTGTGTTGAAATCCTGAGTGAATTTTGTGTTTTGGGGCTGAATTTGGGCGGTGGTTGTTGCTGTGTTTAGCGGCGTTAGACTGCATGCAGTTGCTACTGTGTTGTTTCAATTTGTTTCTATTCCAATTTAAGGTTGTAACTTGTAAGGGTAGACTTGTTAATTTTGTTGGATTAAGACCCTTTAACCATCAAATTCTTCTATCAAATTATTGCTGCTATAATGCTAAACATTTAATTTGAGCATCTCTGAATTTGAGCAGCACCTTGGTTACCACTTCTAAGGTATCCCCATACTCTTTCTCATGTGACCAGCCCCGTGGGCCGGCCAAAATAGAGCAATGACTATTGAAATACTGAAGAGGAATTCTAGGGAGAGGTAGAGTGGAATAAGCTTAGATGAACTTATAGACTATAGATGAACTTATAGACTATAGATGAACTTAGAGAGGAGAGTCTGGTACTGGTGGTATTGATGGTGATCAGAGATGGTGTAAGAGAGGATAGTGAAGGGGGTAGTAGTGGGTCAAGGATTGAAGGAGGTTTTGGCGCTTCATCATGGTGGATTGCCGGGTGTTTCTAGAGGAGGTGTTGAAACTTAAATTAGTAGCTTTTCCTGCCAATATAGTCACATTTATTTGGCTTTCATTTACTTCAAAGTTGCTGAATCTTACACTTGCTAATTTTCAAAAGAGTATTATGAAGTCATTTTTCTTCTTTTTTTTTTTTTTTTTTTTTTTAATAATAATAATGCTACAGAAATTATGATTTGTAGTTATATATGCTTGGGAATTGATTGTCTTTTCTTTTGTTGTCTATTCCTTAATTTCCCTGTTGTTCTCAACTTTTCTCTGGCTGTATTACAATTTTGTTCTCATCCCCTTTTGTTTTTGCTGCAGCAACACCTTGAGTAGGATGGAATTCTTGGACGTTCAGAAGGATGCTGGAATCAATCTGTATCCTCAAAACTTTGAGGCTGTAATTTCTATAGCTGATTTCATGGTGAAATATGGTGAGTTGAACAATGAGGAGTACCTGAAGGAGGTACAAGTTTCAGTGGCTGGAAGGATCACGAGAAAGTGTCCACGTTCTTCGAAGCTTCTCTTCTATGATTTGGAAGATGGTGGTGCCAAAGTCCAGGTTGTTGCTGATGCTAGGATTTCTGAGTTGGAAGGTTCTGAATTTATCAAGTTCCATTCTTCTGTCAAACAGTTCGATATTGTTGGTGTAACTGGGTTCCCAGGTAAAACTAAAAGAGAGGAATTAAGTATTTTTTCCGAAGTTTTTTGCTGTTTTTATCACATGGCCTTCATGAACCGAGTGTCAATCATGTAGCAAAGTTGCTCACAGATTCCCTAAGCGTACATCCAGCCATCAAGCCTCAGTATGAGACAGCTTCTCAAGAACAGCACTGTGACTGTCCCTCTTCACTCCCACAGAACCATGGTGTATCATCATCTCTGTCTTCCTCTTTCCGTATTGTTGTCGTTGGAGACATTCATGAAGATTGGAAATTAGAGCATGACTGCAAAGCACTCCATTTTCTACGGCCAGATTTGGTGTTGTTCACAGGTGACTTTGGCAATGAGAATGTTGAGCTTGTTAAGGGTATCACAGAGCTTAACATTCCTAAAGGAGCAATACTTGGAAATCATGATGCCTGGTCTACAAGTAAGTTCACCAAGAAGGTGAAAGATGGAGTTCAGCTTCAGCTGGAATGTCTTGGTGAAACTCATGTTGGATATGACCACTTGGACTTCCCTTCATTAAAGCTAAGTGTTGTGGGCGGTAGACCCTTTTCTTGTGGAGGTGATAATCTATTCAGGAAAAAGCTCATAACTTCTAGGTAGAACAATTACCTTAATCCTTTGTGATTGTTTTCCTTTTGACAATCAGTCATTCATGCAATCATTTATTTCTTTGCTTCTATTTGGCCTTAACATGCCAGCAATTGATTCATGTTTTTTCAGATATGGTATTCATAACATGGAAGAAAGTGCTGATCAAATCTACAAGGCTGCTTTACGGACTCCAAAAGAGAATTCTATTGTACTTCTCTCACATAATGGTCCAACAGGTAGTTATTGAGCTTAAAATCATTTGTGTGAATTCTTAATATTATGTATTTGTGTCTCTGTTTCAAAATTTATGAATTTTAGGTTTTATTTGTCCCAAACTATCTCAATTTTAGGTCACATCGCAAGAAACTACCTTAAATACCATATGTTACTGTTGACTACTATCTTGACATTTTTTCAAGAATTTGACCATTGTCTTTAGGCAAGTAAAAAACACTTGTGGGGTACATGACTCCTGTTTTTGGCATTTTTATCCAGACCACCACCTCACCTTCGCAAATCACCGCACCACCACCATAACAACCGCCATACACCGCACCACATCTACCATTCAAATCGCCCCACCTCCATCACTTCATCCCATCACCACCAACCATATCCAAACTCAAACCTTTCTTGACAACCAAAAACAACCACCACCAACAAAATTAAACCTACAAAGTGAGGGGTAGCTCAAGTGGTTAAAGCTTCCCTCCCGATTCCACCAGATCGTGGGATCGATTCTCATCCCCGCCCTTGTGGCTCTCTTAGCACCAAAAAAAACAAAATCAAACCTACAACTACTAACAATTCCTTCGTTTGAACCTAGAAATGTTGAGAACTCCTTCATTCAAACCTATAAATGGTGGTTGCAAGATGCACGAGACGTGAAATGGTGAGAGAATGATGTGATATTTGGTGGCTCATTTTTGGGGGTTTTGGGGGTCATTCTTGATCGTGGCGGCTCAATTATGGTGTAATTATAAAACTGTTGTATTTGTATATGATTTTTCAATTACTATGCTTTTCTCTTTGTGATTAACTCTCGAATTAAAAAAAAATGTAATGGTTTTGATTGACTCATTATTTTCATTGACATATGAACCTTAATGTTAATAAATAACGATATTACAAAATAGTTTAAGTTGTTTTTATAAAGATTAAAAAATGACATTTTCCCGTAAAAAGTTTATCACTTTTAAATTAAATTAGAGATTGTGATTTGACTGTTAAGTTTTGAAATTTATATGTTATTGTATTAATTGATTGATTTATTAAAATAAATTAACTAAAGTGAGTATTAATTGGTCTAAATTTTTTTGATTTAATTTTTTACTAATTGCTGAAACCTTCCCTTTTTTTCCCTTTGTTGATCGATCATTGATTGACAATCTAATTATCTCTCCTATGTACGGAGTATTTGAATTGATTGAATGGCTAATTTGGTAAATTTATGCGTACATTAATGGTGTGTTGTGTAATAATCCTAAGTTTGAAGGGTAAATTTGGAATTTCAAAGGGAGACACCATTGCTTTCCCCTTATATAATAGAGATATAGTTTTTTTTTTTTTTTTTTTTTTTTTTTTTTTTTTTTTTTTTTTAAATATTCTATGTACACACAGTATTTGTAGTAGATGTAACATTTCACTTTTCACACATGAAACACAACTGTGACCAATAATCTCTCTAAATTTTTTCCTATGTAAATTATGAAAAAATTATATTATTGGAAAGTGTGTACTGAGTCATTAAGATTAATTCAACAAGATATTACATGACTATAATTTTCCTTGTATATAAATTGTAATTGATAATCAAATTGAGTTGGATCTAGGAATGGCAACAGACCGGATTCGGAGCGGATTATGCATAATCCAACTCCTACCCTACAGGAATTCAGATTTTAAATCAGCATCTGACTCCGAGAATCGACTCAGATCCGACTTTTAAATCCGACATCCGATTCCGATCCGACCTGAGTTCGAGTTTTTTCCCTTATTTATGTTTTTATAGAAAAAATCTCTACTTTTAAGTGGTGTTTTTTTTCCTATTATCTTTCTTATATTTAGTCTTTTTTTTAAATGAAATAAAGTTTTTTACTATATACTATACATGAATAGCCAAATAAATATAAAAATTAAATGATAGTAATTGTATAAAAGTCGGAGTCAGATCGGATAGTCGGAATTTTTGAGAGATCCGACTCCGACCCACCCTCGACTCGGAGTCGGATTTTTTTAACGGAACCGGACTCGGACTTTATTTATCTTGGATTCAGAACGGATTTTTTCCCTCGAATTGGAGCAGACTAGGATCGGATCCGAGTTAGAAGAAGTGCCAAAAGTCAACATGTTACATTCCTAATACTTGTTTGAACGCACTGTCTTTTGAATTCCAAAATCTAGTAATGTATATATGCATATTTATTATGAGAAGATGGCATTATGGATCACTAAAACTTTTATACTAAGTCCCTTATATTGTACAACATTAAATTTGTATAATGGTAACAAGTTTGGTACAGTGTGGATACATTCTTTGCACAAATTTCTCTGATTAAATAGCAATAATTGAATAGCTGTTATTTTTACTAGTGAAAGAGTAAATTCCAAATTCTAATCCTTTGCAATTGTCGTTTGGTGCAGGTCTTGGTTCTGGTAATGATGACATATGCGGTGTAGATTGGGAGCCTGAAGGAGGAGATTTTGGGGATCGAGGTATCTTGATTGCTGTCTCTCTCTTTTATTTTTTATTTTTTATTTTTTTATTTGTGTGTGTGTGTGTGTATGTGTGAGGGGTGGATATTTCACATAGTATCCCTTATGTTTTGGTTTTCTGCTCTGTGATGCTGCACCCCTTGCTGTAGAAGCTACACACAAGCAATCCCAGGTGCAATCATTTACTTGGGCCGTTAGATAATGTGAAATGCATTTTGAGGTGAAAATTTTCCTCCATTTGCAGAGGGTTCACCCCTTAAGTCAGCCTCTATTTTTATCTTCTCCACATTTGTTTTTCTCCATTTTTATTCTCGCCAAATTGCAAACATGTCTGATTGATAATAAAATAATTGAAATCTTACTGAGAAGAACAAGGTTGACGTTGATCCAAACTCTTTTTTTTCCCTAACTTTTTAATTTTCCCCAACCCGACTGATTGAAAATTATTCTTTCAACGTTTGAATCTCGGTAGAAATTTCAAAGAATCAAACATGTGTGAGTCCCTGAAGTAATGATCATTATTGTCATCTACGAGTTGAACTTTGAGAGAGAAGCTTCGAGATGAGGAGAACTCTCATCTTTGGTTCAGAGGTTTGTTTGTGATGGGGGTTGTGGTTAGGACAATTTGTGTGAACTGGTTTGTGCAATGGACTGGTGATCAGGACTTGAAGGCAATTGCTGACTTTTAATTCATGAATTTGCTCATTTAAGATGATTTGAAGTTGTAGCCAAGTAACAAAAATTTGTCATTTGTCTTAGTTTCTTTGGTAATTAGCTACGTTAGTCGTTTCTTTTTTCTAAATTAAAAAAAAATTAAAATTGAAATTTAATTTTTTCCTTTTTTGGGGATTAAGGCTTTGATTGATTGATTGATATATTTATTTTTCTTTGACAAAGGCAATTGTTAGGATTAATGCCTGACACTAGACCTAACAGTTAATGTAGAAATTGAAAAACAATGAAAACATTAGTAGTAAATCAAGCAGCTTCTTGCAAACCCTCCTGTGTTCACTGTTCAGTGAGCACATGCTCGTCTCCCACCAGCACACGCTTAAGCCATTGGTCAGTCGTCCAAACCCTAATGTGATAGAGCTTCAGAGCTTCTTCTCCACTGCATCCTTATGAGCATTGAGTAAAGCTTTTATTAAAACTCCTCTCTGGTCCTTACCTTCTCTCTGTTCACAAACCATGAATCTTCGTCCTCCATTGGACATTTTTTGCAGTTTCTGTACCTGAAAAAGAAAAGATTAGAAGCATCCTTAGGCCCCGTTCTTTAAAGCTGCTTTGCTCTGTTCTGCTGAAATCTGCTTTGCTCTGCTGTGCTTTGCTGAAATCTGCTCTGCTCTGCTTCAATCTGCCCTGCCCTACCCTACCCTGCCCTGCCCTACTCTGCTCTACTTAAAATTAATACTTAATATTAAATTATTATAATAATAATTAATATTTAATAATAATAAATAATTAATATTTAATATTTAATAAATAATTAATATTTAATATTTAATAATAATAATAATTAATATTTTATAATAATAATAATAATAATAATAAATAAATAATATTTAATAATAATAATAAATAATTAATATTTAATTATAATAATAATTAATACTTAATAATAATAATAACAATAATTAATTATTGATATTTAATAAAAAAATAAAAAAATAATAATAAATAATTATTAATATTTAATAATAATAAATTATTAATAATTATTAATAAAAATAATAATAATAATAATAATAATAATAATAATAACAATAATAATTAATATTTAATAATAATAGTAATTATACTAACAGTAATTATAATATTTGTAACTAATAATATTAATTATAATAACAATAATTGATTTTTATAATAGCAATTAATATTAAGATAATGACTAATATTTAAAGATAATACTAATTATTAATTTTTAATAATAATAATTAAATAATATTTAATAATAATTATAATTAATATAATAATAATTAATATTTAACTTTAAAAATTTAATGATTATAATAATAATGCGATAATATTAGTAGTAGTAGTAATAATAATAATAATAATTAATATTTAATAATAATAATAATAATTAATATTTAATAGTGGTAGTAGTGGTAGTGGTAGTGGTAGTGGTAGTGGTAGTGGTAGTGGTAGTGGTAGTGTAGTAGTAGTGGTAGTGGTAGTGGTAGTGGTAGTGGTAGTGGTAGTAGTAGTGGTAGTAGTAGTAGTAGTAGTGGTAGTGGTAGTAGTAGTAGTAGTGGTAGTAGTGGTAGTAGTGCAGCAGTAGTAGTAGTAGTAGTAGTAGTAGTAGTAGTAGTAGTAGCGGCGGCGGCGGCGGCAGCGGTGGTAGTGGTGTTGGTGGTGGTGGTGGTGGTGGTGGTGGTAGTAGTGGTAGTGGTAGTGGTGGTGGTAGTAGTGGTAGTAGTGGTAGTGGTGGTGGTAGTAGTAGTAGTGGTAGTAGTGGTAGTAGTGGTAGTAGTAGTAGTAGTGTAGTAGTGGTAGTGGTAGTGGTAGTGGTAGTGGTAGTGGTAGTGGTAGTGGTAGTGGTAGTGGTAGTAGTAGTAGTAGTAGTAGTAGTAGTAGTAGTAGTGCAGCAGTAGCAGCAGCATAATAATAATAATAATAATGATAATAAAAATAATAATAATAATAATAATAATAATAATAATAATAATAAAATCTGCTCGGTTCGGCTCGGCTGAAATCTGCTCTGCTTTGCTTTGCTTTGCTGAAATCTGCTCTGCTCTGCCCAGAAGCTCAAAAGAACAGGGCCTTACTAAGTTAGTCTTTGATAATCAGCTAAGGCAGTCATCTTTCCATGTAAGATTGATTTGATTTTGCTGGTTTGCCGCCGGTTTATTGATTCAGTTTAAGTTATTTGGGTCCATTAACTTAATCCTAAAATTTTTAGTAAAATTTTAGCTTGTTTCATAGGATGTTAGGAATTACTTCGTATTAGCTGTTTGGACTGACAAGCTTTGTTATAGCTTTGTGCTGCAAAAAGCGCCTAAGTTCGATATCCTAGTGCTAGTCTAGTTAGATTAGGATTATATATATCTGCAATTAGTTGGTTAGGATGTGCAATGTAATATAAATATATATGATTATAGCAATGCAAATTCACTTTTTTCCAGCATTATATATACACACATTGTCACATTCAAACATAGTGTATGTCCTTATTACCTGCCCCTGTCGAGAAATAGAACTGACTAATCACATTCTTCTCAAGGTGAAAGGGAGTAAATATGAGGGTATGCCAAATCGAACCTAAGTGTGGGCCCCACTAACAGTTTCTTTTTTTCTTCCTTTGATGGGAAATTCCCTCCCCTTTTTTCAGTCTTAAGTATAATGGGTAATCTTTATATATGCTTATTGATTGATTGATTGATTGTTATCTGTAGTAAATTCTTGAGATTGACAATCATTTGTGTTATTATACAGATTTAGCCCAAGCAATTTTGCAACTAAAAGAGAGCACAAATTATAGCATTCCTTTGGTAGTTTTTGGACACATGCATAAAGATTTGGCATGTGGAGGTTCCCGGAAGATGATAGCCATGGATGAAAATAACACCATGTATCTAAATGCAGCGATTGTTCCTAGAGTAAAATGTGCAAGCTCTGGAGCTTCCCTTCGGGCCTTCACTGTGGTTGAGTTCAGTGATGGTAAAATAGCCAAGGTAGCTGAAACTTGGGTTTCAATCAATGACAATGAAGCCTCCCTTGAAGAGGAGCATTTATTATTTAGCAGCAATGATGGCTCATCTTTTGCAATGCAAAAAAACATTACTTTCAAAACCTTTAATTACACGGAGTAGATTACGTATTTTTTTGACGGATTAGCCTTATTCTTATCTTCATATTCTTTCATCTCTATTTAGCAACTACATTATTCTGGGAATACAATATTTTGGAATATATATTTTGATTTATTACATAATATTTATATTTGTGGATGATTGTTATGCCCAGTGACGGATCCAGGAATTGAACCGTGTGGGTTCGAAGTTGTTAATACATAGAATCAAAATTTGTCTTATAATAAGCACACAAAGCGCGCTGCGAAATATTAAGCAAAAGAGAATTTTGGTAATGAAATATTTGTAATTATTTGTAAAGAAGGAAATTATTTAGAAAATAGGGACGTAGAATTATAGCACAAAAGTAAAAGTAATTGGAAAAAACCCAAAAAATCTGAATTAGAAAATGGGGAAAAAGAATGAAACAAAAGGAATGGAAAAAAAAAAATAAAGAACGAAAAAACACAAAGAGGTTGGGATTCGATCCCGCAACCTCATGTCTGCTTGTCATCACCACTATTATTCCTTAAACAAGACCGACTTAATTTCATGTTCTCACGACTAGTAAGATAACTATGGACAACCGACATTAAGCTTCTGGAATATGAAATTAAGCGCACATATCACCAAAAAAATTAGTCCGATTTGCATGTATTTCTGTTGACCAACCGCCTAGTAATCTTGCATGCTTAGGGTTTAAAACGAAAATATGTTTGTTATTGTCTTTTCGACAATGGACTCGCAATGACCGAGTAGAGGCCGCTAGATGCGCGGGGAGGGGGGATTGTGCACTACTTCGCCCTTACCCTTGTCCCCTAATCTATGACCTTTGGTGCACGACCAGACTATGGAGTCTTTCGCCTTGCTTATGTCTCGGCAAGGCTTAAACCGGGTTCCGTAGCTCCCTGAAGGAGTGCGGTGGCGACTTCCTCTACTCGTTCTTTTTCAGAGTATAATACACACAACTCCAGACATACTCACACTATGCAAAAGCAAGAATTCAATTCTAGCAAAACCAAAGTCATCACCGAGAGCACTTCAAGGTCATAAACACACTTGAGGGTCTAGCATATGTCATTATTGAGCTATTTGCATACTCATGGTCTTCCGAGGGTTTGACCAAACCGATTTAGGGAATGATGAAGGCAATCATTTGGGGGTTTTTGGGACACAAAATATTTTTGTTTTGCATTCACCTTTTTGTTTTACTTCTTTTCAAATAAATTGGGATTTGGGGTTTTTGTTAACAATTGCAACCAATTTGAGCTTCCACTTCTTGTTAGCCAACTATATGAGCCTTAGCCAAATTTTATTTTATTCACCCTTAGTGACAAGTGAAATAGAGCTAAGTTTGTAAAGTTGTAAGCCTCCATATCATGTTGATAAATGGCTAAGTTATGATTAGTGCTTTTGTTTGGAGCCTAAACCCCCCCTAAATACATTAGTCCATTATAGTTCAAAAAAAAGTCCAAATTCTCCCAAAGTTAGTGTTGAAGTTTGAAACAAAGGGGATTGAAAATAGATGTTTGGCTCCTAGGTTGTGTGTAGTGATTGAGTTTGGGGGAGGAAATTTCTCCCTCGGTTTGGTTTGTGTTAGTTCTTGAATTGTATTGTTTCGCTTGATTAGGAAGACCAACATAGCCAAATTACTTTCCCGACCAACCTTAAGCTAGCCTAACATTACAACCTTCAAGTCCTTCTCACTCTAGACGGTTAAGTCGCATGATGGAGGAAGCAATGAATGCCTTATTTGAGACATGTGCTAGTTTTGCTTGATTTCTTTCACCTTGATTTTTCCTTGAGCTCATTCATTTGAGCTATGAGACACCACTTGGTTTTGTGCCTTTGAGGTTGGGGAGGGATGTCTTGGTGAGGAGTAACAGATGTTTAGTCATGATTGATTGGGCCCTCAAACTCCCATTTGTGACCACTAGCATGAGTTAGCTTGCTTCCCCCTTAGAGGGTTGAGGGTTGAGCGCACATTCGTGTCTTTAAGAGCTCCTTTAGGCTTTTGGTCGAGACTTGTGGATTTTCGAAAACCTCTGCTTTGATTGAATGAGAGTTGTTGGGTTAACTCTTTGGAAACCCTTAAGAGAGCATACTTGTCCCCATTGGCGACTTTGGGGTTTAAATGGCTTGTCACTAGTTGCTTAAAGTGACTGTGATTCCTATGAAAGTGAGTTAGTGTATATATGTGTGTTTTGATTTAGTTGAATAATTCTCTGTTGTTAGTTTGGTTTTGAGTTTTCTTGCCTCGGGATGAGCAAAGGTTCAGTTTGGGGAGAGTTTGATAAGTGGCTTTTAGGGCCACTTAATCTACTCATTTACCCCTCAATTGTAGCCTATTTTGGTCTTTTAATGATCATTGTAGACCGTGGTCCCTTGCGGGGCTTGGGCCTACGTCGATTGTGTTGGTGGGCTTGAGCCACAGATACCGCACGTGACATTGGGGTGTGTTGTCGAATTGAGGGGATCGCCACCGTGCCTATACAGGTTAATCACGGATGCCCGAAACGTTTGTGCCAAACTAATGGCCCCACTGTTAGGTCCAGTAACCAGATCGTGGGTTCGGGGACATGGTACGGACCAGATCTTTGACCCAATCCTCCCGCGTGTAGCGGCCTCTACTCGGTATCTCATTGTAGTTCCACAAATCATAATTATTGAATTCAAAGAGCCTATTGATTTAAAGTGACGAATTTAAAAACCCTATAAATGAAAAGTAATGCATTTTATAAAAATAAAGGGAGTATACAACTATACAAGTACCTTAGTAAGCGCATTGTCATGCCATTGAAAAAACAATTTATTTGATCTTTAACTTTTATAAGGTTGGAGAAGGAGGCATTCAAAAAGTGAAGTTGGACAAGTCAGTAATTAATGGAATGAACTTTTCTGTCTTTGAGGGATGTTTCTCCTTAATCAAATTGGCCATCAGTCAAGGACCTCAAGTTCGGTCTTCCTAGTCCGGTCTTGGACTAATGAATTGCCCTAAATGTGCATAATAAATTAACAATAATGTCATCTCTTAGATAAATTGTTATATACCAAATGATTGGTTGCCTAAGAGTATCTCAAATGGTAAATCTGAAACATACTAAATTACGGACTAACTATATACAAGTAGCTATATATTTATCATTGGAGAAAAGAAATGAGCAACTTGCAAGCTACCCTGGCCCAAACAAACTATACGCGGGCATGCCTACATGGTTTTTTTTGTTTTTGTTTTATTTGTTTATCAAATTGTTAATGCAAAACAAGTTAACAACAACGTCGATGGAGACACGTAGGCGCTCTAAATGACTTTCCCACTTGGGCTGTTACACAAAGCAAGCAGCCAATCACCATATCATGCACCTTGCATCAGAAAAATTAAGAATTGAAGATTTTCAACTAAAGAAATACTACGAGTATATAAAATTTGGCCCATTTATGTCACCATACACTGACACACTACAACGCAAATTATAATATGCACCCTTGTGCACACAGAACTACGTGCACCATTAATAAGACGCTGACACATAGCTCCTTTTACGTGCACACAGAACTACGTGCACCACCAATAGGACGCTGACACGTAGCTGCTTCTTTCCTAGCTGTTTCTTTCCTTATTTTTGCAACGAATTTCCCGCGTTCTTTCCTTTTTCAATCCTTTCATTATTTCTCCAATTTTCCTTTTCAATTATCATTCGAAATTTTTCTCTCGTCGATTTTCTCTCTCCTCTAGTTTTCTCTCATCAATTTTCTCTCTCATTTACTTTCTCTTTTCGATTAATTCAGTGCTCTTCTCACCACTGTTGATTGCTCTGTTCATCCTTGTTGTTCTTCAATCTTGTTTTTGCCATGGATTTGATTTATGTGCCTGAAGTCTTGATAGTGGAGGTAAGATTTCTGAAATTAGGTTTTTTCAATGTGATTTTTGAGCAACTTTTAATTATTGCTAATTATTTGAAGTTATAATTATCGTTTGTTTTTAATTCATTGTATAATTAGGTTTTATTTAGTTGCTTATATTTGAGATGAGATTGTGATTTTTTCTTTTATAGTTATTAGGTTTGTTATTTTCTTGAATATTATTCTGAACATTGAATAATTTTTAGTTTTAATTAGTTGTATTTTCTATTGATTTATTGATGAACTAATCACATTATTGATCTATTATTTTTAATCTTCTGTAATTTTTGATTAGATTTTGATTAATATGATTCTGCAGTAGTATTATAATAATTTGTGTTGATTTTCATCATTTGTTGATTAATCTGTTCATTAATTCTTGATTTTGAACTTTTCGCCTCTTTTGATTTCTTGTTGAACAATTTATGTCCAGAATTTGATAGATATATGTATGTTTTGTTCAAAGTGTTTTGAACTTGATTTCTGATTTATGAATTTTAATATTATTTTGAACATTGCATAATATTTAGGTTTAATTAGTTGTATTATTCAATTTATTAGTTGATGAACTAATTAAATTATTGATCAATTTACGATTAGCTTCTGGAATTTGTTTAAGATATTTTGATTTCTTATTGTATTTTATTAATTTGTGATGAATTTTATCATTTTTTTGATGAATTTAATGAATATTATTTGTTTATAATTCGTATTAGTCGTATTATTAGTATTTTAAATATATTATGAACACTGTCATGTTATTTATTGAATCTTTATTTTATTTTATTGAACCTTTGATCCGATATATATTTTAATATAGAATTGTACAAGTAATTATGAACATCTTATCCTTTTATTTGAACTTTGTTCTTTTATTTTTCAACTATAATAATTTTTGTTATGCATTTTGTTTGTTTATTGCAGTTTATAAGTATGAAGTTGTTTATAAGGAAAGTGAAAAGTCTGAATTGCAGTGGAAACAAGTCAACAGTGATGCGGAGGCATATGAAATGTATAATGATTATGAATTTCGGCATGGATTTAGTATTAGGAAAGGGAAAGTTCGATATGTTGGTAGTTCAAGTGTTTGGAGAGGCAGAAATTATTTATGTTCAAATGCTGGTTTGAAGGATACTTCTTCCAAGGTGCCTAGGAAGTATTCTAAGTTGGATTACCGTACATGTTGTGAAGCTTACATTGATTTTGTTATTGATGAGAAAGGTGTTTGGACTGCTGTTAAACACAATATGGATCATAATCATGCTATGATACCTGTTGAGAAAAGACATCTCCTTAGGTCTCAAAGGAAAATTCAAGGTGAGCATTTGAAGTTCATAAGTACTATGAAGGCTAGTGGGGTTAGGGTTACGGATTCTCTTCGTGCTTTAAGGAAATAAGTTGGTGGATCTCCTAATCTATGCTACACTGTTACTGATGTTTACATCGCTTTAGCTACTGAAAAAGCCAGCAGATTAGAAGGTGGTGATTGTAATGCTTTGATCAAGTTTTTTGATGCAAGACAAGCCAAGGAGAGTGACTTTTATTATGAGTTTGAGGTTGATGGAAATCATGCCCTTTGTAGTGTATTTTGGAGGGATGGAATAATGCGAAGGGATTATGAAGCTTTTGGTGATTTGATGGTGTTCGATACCACCTATAGAACTAACAAATATGGCATGATTTGTGCCCCTTTTGTTGGTATGAATCATCATTGTAATAATGTCATGTTTGGAATGGGTTTTGTTCTTGATGAAAAGACCAGCAGTTTTGTATGGTTGTTTGAGGCTTTTATGAGATCTATGGGAGGATGTCGAGATCCCATAACCTTAATGACTGATCAAGCCCCTTCAATTGTTGCAGCAATTCGACAAATATTTCCAAGCATCCGGCACCGTTTGTGCACTTGGCACCTTGGTGAGAATTCAAAGACCAATATAGGAGGACTCAGAATATTAAAAGGGTTTCCAGAAGTATTCGATAATTTGCTTAAGTACTGTGAAAGTCCTGCTGAATTTGAACATTATTGGCCAAGGTAAGCTTTCTTTAATATTATTTGAACCTTTTAGTTTATGTTTTAAACTTTTTTGTTTGATATCTGAACTATTGCATTTACATATTTGCGGACTTAATTTTATTGAATTTAACCTGATTTGTTTCTTTTTGAACATTAATTATATATATTTGAATTAAATGTATTAAGTTTTGAACCTTCTTTAAATATGAACAATTTATTATTTATTTTCAACATTTTTACTTTTCATGTTTAACAAGTGCATATGAATAGTATTATTTATGTTTGAACTTTTGTTGGTGTAATTTGAACAACTATATTATCATTTTGTTTATTGATTTGTTGTTTTTTGTTTTTAATAGAATGATGACAAAATACAAGTGTTCAGAAAATGATTGGTTAAATCACTTGTATGATATCAAAGAGAAATGGTGTCCTGCTTATTCAAAAGATTATTTTTCGGGTGGAGTTTTGTCATCCCAAAGGAGTGAAACAACAAATCATTCTGTTTCTAATAGATTGAATAAAACAGATGGTTTGAGTGACTTTTATAGTACTTTTCTTGATGTTATATCAGAGTAGAGGAGTAAAGAAAGTAAGCAAGATTTCCGTTTTTTGAGGGGTAACCGTCATCTTGCAGTAGCTAATGTTCGTTTACTCATACACGCTAGGGAAATTTATACTATTTCTGTGTATGTTGTTTTTGAGGATCAATTTGCTAAAGGAATTGCATGTTGTCAAGAGCGGAAGCATGAAGATGACGAGACTATTTGTTATTATGTTTGGAGGCCAAATAAGGACATTATTAGGCATGAAGTTACTTATGAAAAATTTACTTTCAATATCAATTGCACATGTAAGTATTGGAGTGAAATGGGGTTGTTATGTGGACACTCTCTTCGTATATATAATATTCATTGTGTTCAAAAGATGCCAGAACAGTACATAGTGAAGAGGTGGACTAAGAAGGCTATGTGTAGTCATGTTTCTGATGAAGATACATGTCAAGATGTTAAAGTTGTTCCTTCTGCTGTTTGGAGAGTTCAAATGGTTAGGAAGTATGTTCAGTTAGTGACATCATGTCAAGAAGATCTTTTAGCAAGAACTGAAGTTGAGTATACTTTTCAAATGTTACGTGAAAAGGTCGAAAGTGTGCTGGGTCCAATTGATATTGAAGATGTTGAAGTTGGTGAAGAAGCTAATGAAGAAGTTGATGAAGAAGGGTTCATAAATAATCCAAAAATAACTAGGAAAAAGGGTGAAAGAAACTACAGGCCAAAAAGTACTGTTGAGAAAGCGTTTAATAAAGCTAAGTGTTGGAAAAATAAAGTAGATAAATATAAAGATGAAGCCAGAGCTACTGTCCAAAAAAAATTGGTTGTTGAGGTACTTTTGAACCCCTTTTCTTTTTATCTGAACTTCTGTTATTTTTTATTGAACAACTTATAATTTTATTTTATTTGCAGGTTTTAGATGATGATGGAGATCCTTTGATTTATTCACATCCAACAACACAAGGTTCAAATCTCTCTGTTCTTCCAAAGAGAAAGAATGTTCAAAGTAAAAATAGTAAATCTTCAACCAATGCTTCTCATTCGTCATCGACAAATGTAAGTATTTGTTGAACATTTCAATTGTTTTTTTATACTTTTCTATTATATATGTTTAATTTCATTTTTATTTTTAGGTTTTTGGTGATGGTGTTAGAACTGGTTTCCAATCTTCAAATGGAAAAGGATTCAAAAATACTAACCCTTCAACTAAATTTACTCAGCAATCTTCATCTAATGTAATTATTTTTCCAAATTTTTTTATTTTTTTGAACTTAATTCTTTTAGTATTGAACTTTTGATATTAACTTTTGAACTTGTTAATTTTGTAGGTTTTTGAAGGTTATTCATCCAACAATTTTCCAAGACCTAATTATTCTCAGCCATGCTCATCTAAAGGTTCAAATACCTTTTCAACAACTAATGTTCAGTCTTCCTCTGGAAATTTCTCAAGTGATTCTCATCCAACTTTTTCAAATGTAATTTTTTTATTGAACTTTTTCAAGTTTTTCTTGAATTTGTGTTTTTAAGTTCTGAACTAACTTGGATTTTTTTGTAGGTTTTTGGTCATCAAGCTTCAACTAATTCTTCTCAGCCATCCTCATCAAAAGCTTCAAATTCTTTTTCAACATCTAAGCCACCTTTATCAAATGTAATTTTTGTTACTGAACTATGTTTTGTTTTTGTTGAACTTTTTTGTTTATATTCTGAACTATCTTGAATTTTCTGTAGGTTTTTGCTCATCAAGCTTCAACTAATTTTCCAGCGACCGTTTCTCAGTCTTCTTCAAGAAATGTATCTTTTTACTTATTTTACTTTAATATATTTTGAACTTTTGTTTTTTTTTTTTTTTTTCTGATCTTTTGATAATTTTGTAGGTTTTTGAAGGTCAATCATCCGATAATATTCCAGTACCTAATTCTTCTCAGCCATCCCCATCAAAAGCTTCAAATACATTTCCAAGAACTAATGCCCAGCCTTCCTCTGTAAATTTAACTTCTTTACTCTTAATATTTTTTATATTTTAAAAAATAATTTATTAATATAAATATTTTTATGTATATACTATATGTTTTGTAGGTATGTGGATCTCAAGCTAAAAATACAAAAACTTTCTTAAGAGCTTCTCAGCCACCTCTATCAAATGTATTGATAATATTGAACTTTTTAATTTTTTATTTTGAACTTTAAATTTTATATTATGAATTAATCTGAATTTTCTGTAGGTTATTGGTCGTCAATCTTCAACTTACTTTCCATCAACTGGTTCTCAGTCCTCTACAAGAAATGTAACTTTTTAACTGAACTGTTTTAGATTTTTTTTTTGAACTTCTAATATTATAATGTGAACTTTTAACTTTTGTTAGGTTTTAAGTGGCTCTCAAGGTAAAAAAAGGAAATCATCTGAAGTGAACCATAACAGAGGTTTTTGATATGAGACTAGTAAATGGTTTCAAGTAAGTATGGACATTCTGTTTCTCTATTCTGAATATTTTTGTTTTTGTTTTTGTTTTTGTATTTTTGTTTTTTATTTTTATTTTTATCATTTTTTCGTTTAATTTTTGTGTTTTTAGTATTTTGATGCTGGTCGCAATGCAAAGAATGAAGGGTCTCGTGGTGTTGGATCTTCTAATGTTTCAAATTATGATGAAATGTTATCAATGTTTGACAAGACAAGTAATTCTTAGTTCATTAATATATGAATATATTTTCATAGGTTTTCAATTTGTAAGAATATTCAAATTCTTATTAATTTTCAATACAGACGAATATTTTTATCATTACTTTTAAATTGTTTGTTATTATTTTTTTATTTTTTATTATACAAAAAAATATTGACAAACATATTTTATAAAATGAACAACTACACTTCAATATTTGAACATAATTTTAATATCAACAACTATACTACAAATATTACATATTTAAGTCAATCTTAATTCAAATTGAAAATTCAAACAACATTTGTCTTTCAAACTAAAAATTTTAACACACCAAATAAAATCACATTTTCTTGAAATGTCATTAAATTTAAATATTAATTCTCCTCAAGTCTTCTTCTTGCTGCCATTTTCACTCTGTACCCTTCTCTATTGGTGGGGCTTAAAATTATTTCTGCACAATACTGCACCCTAAGCTTTCTGATTTGATCAACCTGAACATGTAAAGAAAACATATAATTATGAATAAAGTGTTAAATGTTTTGAACAAATAAAGAAATAATATGAACACTATTGTTGAAACTCACATCATTTGCTTTTAAATCACATTTCCATTCTAGCAAAGGTTCTGTTGTGTATGTTTCCATATGTTTCATCACGTAAACACCACAATTCTTATGATCCAAATTGCTTCTCCATTTCATCTTGATCAAGTCAGTTTTGAAACTTAAGATTCTTGCAACATCACTTCTCGCATAATCTTTTGTTCGCATGAAATAAAAGCCTCCAGCTGATAAACAAAATGATGAATTATTTGAACATCTGAGCACAATTTACTGAACATCTGAACACAATTTACTGAACACAGCTTAATAATTTAGTAACTTACCATCGGATTATCTTCATACTTTGTAGATGCCTTCACATTCATTGGAAGCTTTCTGTTATCAATCAAATTAATTGTACCTTTGTACATGTTGATACACATCAAGTAAAAGTGCTTATATGCAGCCACTGGAACCAAGAATTCCCTAAATTTTTTTATGTTTTGAATTCCACTATTATTCATTTCATAGCGCAATCTTTGAGCAAACTTCTCATGTCTTATTTCTGTGGTAGTATTTGCACTTGCACCTTTGTCTGTGCATATAATCAACTGCAATTAACAATTCAAAATAATGAACATTTATTATAAACATAATGAACATTAAAAAAAATATATTGAACAAGTTATATAAAATTATTTATTTTTATTTGAAAATGTTTAAAATTTATTTTCTTACGTATGGCATTGTGGAGAAGTATATGCTATTTTTTTTGCCCTTGATGTTCAAGATATGAGCCCAAGCATCAATAACTGCTGTATCGATCTCTTCATCTGTTCCAAGTGTCTTCATTTCTTCCCTGTTGACACTGTTATCTCCATCATGGTACATCAATTCACTGTCAATACAACGAAAAAAATTAACAAAATTAAATTAAGATTTATTTTATTATTTGAACTATGTAAATAATTATCTGAACAATTATATTGAATTTATGAACAAGAGATTTAAATTAGTAAACTTACTCATTAGGCCCATCATTGAATGCATAATCAGACAAGGTTGCATGCATTGCACTAACATTTTTGAACAAATCTTTGTATTTTATCATGAATGGGGACTTTAGACAAGCTGGCAATTTTATCACTTCTCTTCTTGGTCTTTTGTTTGCATTAACTTCCTGTACTGTTGTTTGTCTAATATAACAATATAAAAGTATTGTTAGTTTTTTTGAACTATATATTTATGTAACTGAACTTTAATTTTATTTCTAATGAACTTTATCATATATATATTATTATACAGTTACCCCTTTGATTTTTCACAAACTTTGTTTTGTTTTCCTGCTTCTTCTTTAGATCTGTACATTTGAACATATAGTTAAAACATTTGAGTACTTAAATAAAAATATTTGAACACAAAAAATTAATATAGTAATTATATCATTCAATACTTAGTAAATACATAAATATTTGTAGTTTTTCTGATTTCATTCAACATATTTATGCTAACTTTTTTAGCTTCTAACCTAGTTGTCCAAAAAATTACAGATTACCATTTTATTCCAAAAAGTTACACATTACTTCCAAAATATTTACATATCATCTTCTTTTTCCTTTCTACCCTATTGCCCAAAAAACTACATATATAAGTGATGTTTGGATAGAATTACATTACCCTTCGTGATGCTGAAAATCCTTTGAAATTGGCTTGCCCAAAATATCATCAAGTGTTGCATCACTGGTTCCAATTATGTTTGAAAACTCACTGGTATCAACATGTCTTCAAAAGGTAGTTCAGACGATTTTCCAGCTCCAACAGGTTCTCCCATTTGTAAAGGCACCTCCACTGCCTTTGATGTTCCTCCACCTTCTACAACTTCTTTTCCATGACCTTTCTCTCCTCTACCTATGGTAAGTGTTAGATCAAGGGTACGTTTCTCAGTAATAGCACCTTCTCCCCTTTGATGTCCACTTTCACCACTTTCCATAGGACCCGCACTTGCTCCAATTTGAGCATCTTGTGGTGTTAGAGGATCCTCAATTTCCAAGGACCAAGCTCTTTGAAAGTTGAAATCCCCCCTAGTTTCTCTTCTCTCCTTGCTTTTCCTTTCTCTTTTTCTATTCTTTTTTCAGATTCTCTTCTTTCTGCTTCTTTTTTCTCAGCTTCCTTCTTCTTCAAGTACTCTCTTTCAATCTAATCAATAGCCTTTAAGAAAGACTCTGTTCCAAAGAATGCTTCATCTTCACTTAAACTGGAAGCATCATTCCTTTTTTTTCCAATAAGATTTTCAACACTTTTGATAATCATGTTGTTTGAGAACAAGTCTTTTCCTAACTTCAATTTGTCAGTCATTTTTGACATACAACTTCCCAAAGTCTTGACAATTTCCATCAATTCATCCATAAATTCCTCCTGATTTCAACATCAAATAATGAACATAAGCTTACAATATTCTGAATATGCAGTAAAAGTTTATGAACAATAAAAATTTATAGATTGAATAATTTACTGATTTTAGAATGAAATAATAAATTATTATTTATTATTTGAACATTAGAAAAAAACATTTGCACATTTTACATAAAATTATGAACATATAAAAATAAACTTTGAACATAAAAGTAACTGAACCTTGGATGGCTGATTTTCATTGATTGGCATAGCTTCACTGACTTGTTGTTGAACTTTTGCTTGATGTTGTGCAGGTATTTCTATTCTTTGTAACACACTACCTAATCTAAATTGTGACTTTGCCTCTAAATTCATTCTCTCTTGAATCATATCTCTATTCCAAGCCGAAATGATTGGGTATGTTCTCGGTTGCTCAATACCTCTTTTTTGCACTCAATCACAATACAACAACTGCCCCATAAAAAAGGCAGACCAAGACATTATTCCATTATGAATTTTTAACAAAATTAAAGAAACCTATGCATTAAAATCTTGAACAAAATTAGGAAAACTTTTGAACATCTAAATATAAGTTATAAGGTATATGAATATAATTTTGTAAAATTTTCAACAAACATAACCAAAATTCTTTAAATAAACACAAGAACATCAGGCATTAAAATTTTGAACAGTTATACCAAAAATGTTGAACATATGAACACAAGGCATAATTCATATTAACATAAGGCAAAAACATTTTGAACATATGCAATTTTAATTTTGAACAATTAGGGATACCATTTGAACATAATGAATTAAAATATGAACAAATAAATAATAATAACAAAACTGAAAATCATACCAACAAGAAAGGTAGTGATCCCTTAAAAAAGCCCTTTGTGTTTTTCTTCCACTCAGGTACTGTGGAAATCAGACTTTGTAGGATATACTTGCACCAATTCAATTCCTTAATCTCAACACAATCTTGAATTGTGTGTAGGAATTTGTAGTGGCAGTGAAGGTTTTGGCTTGTTTTCATCATTGAATTCACAGCTAGCACAAGGAAATCTATTTTGAATATCTCAGTTGCTTCTCCTGTGTTCTTCTCTCTTGATTCAATTTCTGTTGCAACATATTTCCTTTTATGCAATGCTTGCTGATCTTTCTTGTTTTTCTTTTCTTCATTAGTTTCATACTTCTCAAATATCCATTGGGTTCTAAGGCAACAAGTTTTACAACCCCAATTTTCCCTCCACCTCATTAAAGGTGTCACAATCTCCATATCTTCATCTTCCTCCTCTGCCTTCTTTGGTTCTTTTTCATAAATAACCTTTTCACCTCTAGGCAATCCATATACAATCTGCACATCATGTTCATTTATCTCTACTGATTTGTTGAATGGTAAGTATAGAGTGCTACTGTTTTCTTCAAAATGCCTCAACAACCAAGCACAAAATACAGCATCATTTTGTGGCAAATTCACAGAAAGAATTTCCCCAAAACCCATTTCATCCACTGCTTGTTTTTGTTGTGGGGTTAAGTTTGCTACAAACTTCATAAACTTAACATGTCCCACTCGAACACATAGCTTCTCTTCTTCATACATCATAACTTCATCATCATCATCAGTCAAACTTACAACATCTTGATCAATAAGTTCATCATCTTCTTCAATTATTCTCTTTCTTTTTTTCTCAATTTTCTCAACCTTTTTACCTTTCTCCTTTTTCTGAACTTCTTTTTCCTTCTTCTGAACTTCTTTATCCTTATTCTGAACTCCCTTAGGTGATTTCTTAACAACCTTTTTAGAAGATTGTCCACCTTCCTGTTGACCAGTTTTTTCCTTAATCTGAACCCCCTTCTGTTTTTTTTGAACACCCTTTCCAGATTTCTGAACTTTGTTTAATTCTTCTAATGGAATTTCATGTTCTTCATCATGCTGCTGTTTCTCTTTTTCTGGGGTGTTTTGGCTGCGCAACACTCTTGTTGATGTAGTTTTTGTGTTCTTTCCTATTTTGTAGCTATGTGTTTTTTCCTTGTGAAAGAACTGATTTTATCGTATAAATAGTTATAGTTAAAAAATGTTAA